CGTACACCCCATTTTAAAGCAAAGGAAGTGGTTATTTTGAAAAATGTTTCAGATAAAAGTTGTTGAAGATAAAGTAATGCATTACATGGGTAAATTTGATTGACCTTGGGTGGCGTCGTGAAGGTCATGTCAAGGTCGACTTGAATTTTTTAAATGGGAACCCCTATTTTTCATTGCATATTCTTGTAGCTTATCTCGAGAGCTTTCCAAAACACTATAATTAAGTACCTTTTTATTAAGTACTTTTTGAGTTATAAGGCTTGAAATAATTTCTTAATTTTACATAAACCATAAAATATCTAGTAAACCATTCATTTTTCGATTATCTTACCTTCATACTTTTATGTACAAAATAATGAGAGGAATCAATTGGTGTAAAGAAAACACATAGTTGTTTCTAAGGAAAAATATGTAATTTGCAATTAACAATTCCATATTTTTTCTTAAAAACAACTGTATGTTTTCTTTACACCAATTGATTCCTCTCATTATTTTGTACATAAAAGTATGAAGGTAAGATAATCGAAAAATGAATGGTTTACTAGATATTTTATGGTTTATGTAAAATTAAGAAATTATTTCAAGCCTTATAACTCAAAAAGTACTTAATAAAAAGGTACTTAATTATAGTGTTTTGGAAAGCTCTCGAGATAAGCTACAAGAATATGCAATGAAAAATAGGGGTTCCCATTTAAAAAATTCAAGTCGACCTTGACATGACCTTCACGACGCCACCCAAGGTCAATCAAATTTACCCATGTAATGCATTACTTTATCTTCAACAACTTTTGTCTGAAACATTTTTCAAAATAACCACTTCCTTTGCTTTAAAATGGGGTGTACGGGTGGTCTGAAACACCCGGTATATTGTATCGTAAATGTAGAGTTCAGTTAGAATGATATATACGAGAAATTTTTACTGCTTTAAAAATTGATACTTGAAGAAACATAATCGGGTTTCAAATTAATCATTGTCGAAATAAAATTTATTTGAAAAATATATATTTATATATAATAAATTATATATAAATAATATAATAACTTATTTAAATTTGAAATTTTTTTATAACATTTAAATAATTTTCATTATTATTATTTACTATTTCCAAATAAATTATATATATATATATATATATATATATATATATATATAAGAAATTATTATATAATATTATATATTATATACATAATAATTTTAAAATATATCGATATACAAAAATTCTGTATAATATATTATATAATAATAATAATAATAATAATAATAATAATAATAATAAATTATATAATATATGTAACAATTTTTTTTCCTAATAATAATATATTGTATAATAATCTTATAACACTTTTAAGAGCTATCGGATAATGTTCGATTATCGAAACAAAGAGAGAGTATTTTTTTTCATGCATAATCGAGAGGTAAAGAGAAAGGGTGCGAAACGGAAAGCATGTCAACCCTCGAAAGAAAGCAAAAGTTTGCGCATCTCCCGCGTGATTCTTTCACAGAGCGGGAGCATCTGAACACAATAAAATAATGCGGAGGGGCGTATAATGAATCGAATTGAATTTCTGCAGAAATGACCCAAGGCGCGCGCGCGTAGAAGGGAGTTCGGACAGATATCCTTGTAAGCGAAGTTATAATAAATTCAAAGCGAACGAGGACACGGAGGCAGGGCTCTCGGGTTACGTCTGGATTTCGCATAGAATATTCCACGCGCGAATTCAAAGCCCTTGGTTTCGTACTAAAAGTGTCTAAAAGCCGGCCGCTAAAGTACTGGATGGGGAAGAGGGAGCAGGAGGGGGATGGCAACGGGGGCGGGGGCGCCAGGTGATTTCGAGTCGCGTGAGAATAGGACGCGGAATTTCTCTATTCCGACTTTTCTCAAGTTTCTCAAAGGACGCGCTTTCCGCGGCAGTATACACTTATCGTGACTTTTTTGCCATATCAGAGTTTTATATTCCAATTACGCTGTCCGGTATCCCTCTCGCCAAAGTTTTAATTCTAGATTTCCTACATGTATTTATTTTTATAACTTTTGGATATCTCTCACCGTCACATCAATCCGTCATCAGTTTTTAATTTCGAGAGAGGAAATTTCGAAAAAGTACCAACTTTTTATCATGTGTCTATATCATCTTGATTTTATTTTATGTTCGATCTTTATCGTGTTGATTTTATTATTTCGATTGTACAAAACGTTAGTTAACAAGTTGATGGTTATATCTATTGTTCCTACTTATTTTCTCTTTCTTAATTTTTCAGAAACTTCTCATCTCTCACGCGTTTTATAATTGAAATTTCGCAATGGATTTTATTAAAAATTGATATCTGACGATAATTTATGCTAAATACATACATACGTAAACCAGTAAATAGCTTGCGATTAAAAAAAATGCGTAAATGCGCACTCGTTAAAGTAGTTGAAGTCTATTTTCACGCGCCAATTGCTTCTTGCAATGCAATAGCTAGCGGAATCATTTTTCCTTCTTGTTAAACAGATAATCGTAGTGTTACGGATAGAAAGAAATCGTATAATATATTGAAATCAGCCAACGTGTCAACGCATAGTGAACGATTTTGTTTTGTTTAGATCACGTTTAATATTATCGTATCGTAAAAAATAGAAGTTTGTTTTTTCATCGGAAATATTAACATAAATTTTAATACGTAGATGAGAAAAAAAAAGGACGAAAAAATCTTGACCTCGCAGATGAAAAAAAAACAGATAAATCATTCTTTATCTTTTCTGAATCATCTTTTCCGTTGAATAACAAGCAAAAAAGACATGCGTAATATTTTAATTATTTTTACAAATGGAGACATTTATATATTTCGGAATATTATTATTTATACCATAAATAATGTGAAGTTTACGTATGCTTTTTTCAATAATGAAAAATAAGCATATAAGTATATTATAAATTTAAAATCACAAAATGAATGACGTCGATCTCTAACGACATAATATTAGTATATCGTACCGATATAATATCGGAGATTGCTTCTATGTAAAATTTTATTTTGTTTACATTATTTCTGATTACGAAAATTAAAAAATAGCATATGTAAATGATAGTTTTGCTATATATTAATTTTGATCTCTCTCTTTAGATTCTCTCTCTCTCTCTCTCTCTCTCTCTCTCTCTCTCTCTCTCTTCTTCTTCTTCTTCTTCTTTTCTGAGAGAGAATATTTCGTTATTATATATATCTCAGCTTCGCATATGCAATTGATTTTCAGATTTCATCCATGTTCAGGATGTATTAATTTGAATAACGTTATCAAATGAATTAATAATAAACAATTAGGTTAATTAGACGTCCAGATTGCCAGGAAATACGGACTGTTAATAATTTGCTCGCATTATCGTTGTACCGAGAGTTTATTTTGTATTATGTATAGATGAACAAAAATTACAAAATGTACATATTACGTGTTTACACACACGTTACAGTTTTATTTGAAAACTGTTTTCGTTTCCAAAATAACAAAAGGATTAAAGCTCGCGAGATTTTGGCAGTCGCGCACGCATTGCAATTGCACTTTTCGTTGCGAATTTTATATGGTACTTTTTGCGCACACCCGGCTGACACTCATCTCCATGATTGTTCTTCGCAAATAACGCGCTGCGTGCGAGTTCGAACTGCTAGTCACTCTCGATGCTGCAATTTATTAATGATGTTAATTCTAGGCAGAACAAAGGAAATATCTCTCGCTGGCGGCTATCGATATTGCGTTTGTAAAATATGGATTACGCGGGAGATGTCCGTAACAGGTGCACACGCCCGATATAATAATACAATATTCCATGTTCTATTATATGCACGGTCGGATAAATTTATTACGAGCTATAAAATTCTAAACGACAAACAGACCGCGAATTCTTTAAAGGCGCCGTAAAAAGATAAATTACATATATAATAGTTGCAAAGTATTTTTAATTAAATCATGACCTTTATTCGTTGTTAATTAAAATTTAATCAAAGCATTGTTTTGTATAAAGCAAAAACAATAGACAATTTTATATACGCATCTTTCCATTATTACGAGTTGCGAAATACGCTCGAAAAAATCTAAAAGTTTTAATGAAATCAATACATATATATATTTATTGAGAGTGCATGTATTTTATTATTATTATTATTACTCTATCATTATTACTCTATCATTATTATTCTATCATTTCGTATAATTTTTGTTAGATGATTTCGAAGATGCAATTTTATGATATTACGCGACTTGCATCCTATCGCGAATTAGTTCGGTCAACAGCGTGTATTTTCGAAAGAAAGCATCATCGGTTAGGGCCGCAAAGTGCAACACTCCTTATACAGATTCTGCTTGCACAATACTCGTGCTAAATACCGATATGGGACCCCGATTTTTCTCGTATGTATTGACGCGACGGAAAAGCAATATGTAATTCGTGGCGCATCTCGATACTTTAAAGAGATACGAATCGGTTAACTCAATGTTGGTTAAATATTACTTTTGCAAATACCGTTGAATCCCGCTAATAAACGCGCACTCGTGCAAAAGTCCTGATTTTCTCTCTCTGTCTTTATTCGTAATACGTGCAAAATTTTCGTAACGTGTTAATCCATGGTTTCGCAATTTTTTTTTTTCTCTTCTAGTAAACATCTTGAGAATCGAGAGCCCCTCAACACGAGGAGGATTCCTCGGGAATAAAATCACCGTTATAAGCGGAGAGGGAAAGGGGGAGAGGAGAATAATTTTTCTCCTGTTTTTCTAGTTAAAAAGTCGAAAAACTTTTGCGACGAAATGCAAACAGAATTAAAGTTGGAGCATTCGCGAAAGCCGAGAAAAGTTTTTAAATCGATTCAGAAACCCCCTTGTGTATATCTAGCAATATTTACACGACATAGAGTGATTCGCGCAGATGTGAGGCGAACATCCAAGATTTGCTCACCTGTGACGCACATCGTTTCGCACCTCCCGTCCACTCTTTGCGAGGACGCGAAGAGGAGAAGGAGGGGGAGGGAAAGGGGAGGAGGGAGGAAGGGGTCCCTGAAGAGATCCGTAAGTGAGGCCGATTCGACGAATTCGGGGTCCAGTCATGCGAGGAGCCCAGGTATAAAACAGCTGATCGGCACCGCTGTCAGCATCAGTAGTCTAACTTCTCTCAAACATGAAGGTAAGCGTAATTTTCTCTCCTCCGCTCACCTTGGTTTCCTTCCATCCTTTCTCCTTTTTTTTTCGTACCTTCGGTAATCCTCCCCCTTATCGTAATGGCGTCTGTCTGCGGTTTTTTCTACATTTGCTCGATTATTTCATTTCTGCCCTTTTTTTTGGATTCTTGGAAGATTGCTGTCGATTAAGTCATTAATGTTAATCGCGAGTGTGGTTTTTTATTACATTTGTTTCACATAAGTTATATAAGATTTTATATAAATGAAAATATGTAACGCGAACGGAACGCTGATTTTCCTTTCCGTTGTAATTAAAGCGTTTGAAAACAACATGTTGTGAATATTATGAAATGAATATTTCAGGAGTGGCTTCGATAACGTTACCTACCTCTCGTTGTTCTTCATATATATTTTCCGATTATAGATATTTGAAATTTAAAATCTTCGGCTTTGTCATATAATTTCTGATTTCTGCATCTTTGTATCTTACATTTTTCCTACCATGTGCGGATCGCATAGACTTTAATTGCCATGTTTTATTCGGCGAAAATCCGATCCCGAGAGACCCGAAAGTGAATAATGCAGTGCGAGCTCTTCGGCCTGCGTCGAGACTGCTTCACGTCGTTAACGACCTCGGAGACCGTTTAAGAGTCTCTTACGGTGATTTAAAACGTCTGTCTCCTTTGTACATCGTCGAAAAAATTCGCTGTTAATCCGCTGCGCGTGGACGTTTTTTTGCGACTCAAAACGACGCCGTCATCGACATCTTGAATCGTGAACGACTCGCGTTGAAACGAGGTGAAATTTCTTCACGAGAGTGAAAGGCGTCAGGAAACGTTGTTAGTAATGGCGGCGATTGCATAACACGAAGGCGTGCGTAAGCCGTGCGTAAATAATTTTTCGTCTCACATCTGAAACACACGTCTCTATTCCATCTTGATCGATAAAACATCAAATCGGTTTCTATTTGATTTCTAAATTGTTGCTAAACGATCAATTATTGTATTAACCGTATTCATCGTATTAATTGTAATGTGTTAAGTACAAAATTAAATCAAACTAATTCTGAATTAATATTTAAATATTTTTATATCAAATATTATATTTTTTCAACCGTATTAAATATACATCATAGCGTAATATTGAATTTTCCTTAGTTTGTTGGAAAGATTCTCACTGCACGCGATGTAATTACACATCTCATATAGACGTAATTTCATATGTCACGGTGATCCTACCACTCTGGAAGAGCCGAATGTCTCTGGGCTTGAGTCTACAGGATAACATCATTCCGGTCGCTGCCCTTTGCGCGCTTTGCTCCTCACTAAAGTATAGTGGGTATCACGTACTTCTCTACAACAGGTCTATTCTATACTAATTAACATCCTAACTAACTCTCCAGCATTAACCCGTTATGTACTAGCGTAACCATCTGCTCGTGGTCTTTGGGGGGGTGAGAAATTCCCTCGCTTCGAGTTTGGACCAACTCGTCGAAGCTGTCGTGGTTTGCATTTTCGTCAAATCGAATTACTGATTTCGAAAAAGAAATTAAATCCGAAATGAAAAATTAGGTTTCTCAAAAAATATTTATAAACATTACTCGAATTAAATATCACATACGAAAACATAAATCTTTTATATTCTGTCTCTCTCTTTTCTTTTTTTTATTTCAAATGTAAATCTGAATAATTTAAATTGTTAATTTAAATTAGTGATTAAAGTGCAAAGTGCAAAGACTGAGAGTAGACGCATAACATTTAAAGATAATAAATTCATCTTAATTTACAAAGCGAGAACTTGTTTTTCTTCTTTTATATCAGACTAGATTGGATAGTTTATTTAATTCAAGGTCCATTTAATTTCTTGGATTTCTTGCACAAAACGTAATTAGTATGAGATATCTTAAAACTAGAACAATCAATGTCGTTTATAACTTGAGCTAAAAAGACAAGCGTCCTATATGCGAGAATATCTCCTTTCTTCTTTCGCACAATGTAGCACTGATTGCTCCAGTTTCTTCTGTATGTAATATATTCACATTTCTCTCTCTGAATCGCTCGTCTAAATAATACTTTAACTGCGATATATCTGTAACAAATGTGATAATTTAAATACGATATCGATGCTTGTCTTGACGTCATGTCTGCCAAAATTGATTTATTCCGAAGAGATATTCATTTTCGGAAAACAGAATATTCCGACGTATTTTATGAACGTTATACCGTACAAGAGAACACGATATACACGAGAGAAATGACTTTGATGTTCCGCACGCATACAAGTGTCTCTTAACGCTCCGTGCAGTCGCGCTTGAGAAAGCGTTTGACACACTCTGCGTAATTGAATTGATTTCTAAACGAAGAGCTCTGTACGTCCCACTGGTCGTTCACTCTCGTCTTTACCTACTAATGAGGCGTGCAACGCTCGCTCCTATTTTCTATAAGCCTTTAGAGACCCGTATTTTCGCTAGGGGCCTACAGAGGAGTTTCTATAGGACACCTTCGAGAGAGATAGACATATATATACATAATATATACGTGCTCTCGTTGGTATTCGCGTCACTGCGTTAAATACGATTTCGCAAACGGTTCTACGCGTTTCGGCCGCAAACATTTGGCCACGCTCGACATTTAAACGTGAAAAGCGAGGCCGTATCTGTCCCAACATTTTGCAACATTGTCGACCGACGTCACGAGTTGTCGCGAGTCTCTCGCATTTATCTCGCGAAATCCCGCGGGAATCTACGAGCGGGGATTTCGCGCCTCGTTCAAACGCGCATCTCACCTCCAGATTTAGTATAGGTATCGAATACATTCGGGATATATGCCGTATCGAGATTTTTCTGGATACCTCCCATCGTATAAATTCTTTTAATACTCGATCCAGGTCCTGGCTCTACTCCTCATCGCTGTAGCTTGCGCTTTGGCGGACGATACGTACACGACCAAGTTCGACAATATCGACATAGACGCTATTCTGAAGAGCGACCGCCTGCTCAAGAACTACGTAAATTGCCTGCTGGATAAGGGAAACTGCACGCCCGATGGCAAGGAACTCAAAGGTGAGAAATTTCCTTAATCATTGTCTCCTTGCTATCTTAATTATATCGCATCATCTTATGAGGCAACGCGTAATCCTTGTAATGCGCGATCCAATATGAAAACATAATAACGTGAGACGAACAGCTCGGTGTCTACGTCTCTCGGCTGTGCGGCACGATAACGTGACAAAACACGTACGATGAAATGAGACGGTAATGAGACGATCTCTCACACGCTTTCTAACGCGCGCGAGAATCAGCCTTGGCACACTAATGGCCACCCCGTCTCATCCCCGTCGAAGGATGCGCGATACGAGCTCGTTTCGTTAACGACGGTACATATGTCGCGCGCATATCGCTCCCCTTAGAGATATGAATAATGCACCGTAGTCGCCGATTGTCGCTGAGAAGATTTTGGCATAAGAAAAAAAAGAAGAGCACGTCGTCGGGGAGACATTCGCGTTTACATATGTTTGCGATTAGCGGCGCAAACAACTACTGTCGATTCTTTAACGTGGAAACTCTGGTCCCACAGGTAAAGGTAACGCGCAAAAGTGTGTCCCGTGTAGATCATCGGATGTTCTTTTGATAGCAGATTCTCTAGCGTGAATTTAGAGCTAATTTTTTTCTTAAAATTATCGAGGAGAGGATGTCATTGTTTGCAAGTTTTCAATTTTTCCATTATATGTCTTTGTAAGTAAAGCTGAAGTTAAAATTCTATTAAGGCAAACCTGAAGTTGACTTGAAATTAATTAAAAAAGATGTAATTTTATTAATCTTTCAACACTTTATGAAGTTTAGTTTGCGAGAAGCCCTTCTTTTTTTTTAATCGCTTATAACTCGGAAATTATTTATTGATGCTCTGACACTTTCCTTGAATCGATCAGAGAACTTGTTATTAAAATATATATTTCTTTTGAAACATCCTGTTTATATAGAATTCATACACGCAGAGTTACAAATGCAAAGGAGAAAACCTAGGAATTAGATTATATTTTTATCGACGTATTTCTGCGAGATATATTAATTATTCGTAACTTGATTTATCCTTTGCTCGCCGTTTATCAGAAAATCTCTTCTTCTTCTGGGTTTCTTTTTTCTCTCGGCATGGCTATCCCATAGAGCGAGATAAAACGCACGATGGACGGTAATACGTTACCGAAGATATATAGTCCTTGTCTCTCACGAAAATTCACGAGCGATATGCGCGAGTGTGCGACCAGCTGACCATAGCAGCTGGCGCAAATGACGCGGGACGGGCAAAAACGTTGGGGCGAATTCTGCAGGACATCGAATATTCGAGAAATAACATACATTATTATGAACTCCATCCTACGTCGCAAAACTTTGTCCCAGTGGAAATGGTCTGCGCGCACGAACACACATACATCTGTCAAAGTACCTAACAATGTTAACCAAAAAATATAAATCGAAAATCGGGATAAAAAACAAAAAAGTGCAGATAATAGCTATTTTAAGAGAAGTTTAAATCGACATGTAACGATCGTCGATTCCGTGCTTGACGAGGTCGTTGTACTACGTCCCTGATCTGAATTTCTGTTGCGACTCTTTCAGAGCACCTTCCGGACGCATTGGAGACCGAGTGCAGCAAATGCAGCGAGAAGCAGAAGACCGGTACCGACAAGGTCATCCGGTTTCTAGTGAATAAGGTATGTACTCTCGCATTCGTATATACGTCACTGCCCGTCACTTTTCGCCGGACTAATGAAACGCAGGGTCGAACCCGGTAATGAGCTGACGCCGGAGGGCGGGGGAGGGAACGTTCTCTCTCGGGGGGGGATACGTCAAGCTGGTTTAAATGCCGCGGAACTAGTTTGACTTTCATGTAAAGACGGGTTAATACACTCCCCAGATTGCTGGGGTGGTGCGAGGGGGGGGTATCCCAGTAATTCGTTGCGCCCGGAAAACTCCCGTAGCCAAATAATTTAACGGCGATGCGAATCCACGACTCCCTTCGATTCGCGTAAACTTTCTTCGAAACGGATTTCACTCCCGTAGATCCCTTAGAGGGGTTTCAATCCGATTCGCGTTACGTCCACCGTATTTTGCGATTCTTGAAACATTAAACATATTTTTATGGTCGATACGGCGTTTTACGTGCTCAAAGTGTATATAAAGATTTTTCTTTCAAAAATATACACGATTTTGTGTTTGGGAAATTTTAAACAGCTTTAACGCATTTTTACAACTTGTTTAACAAAGTTAAGTTTTAATACGAATTCAAGATGTTCACGTAGCAGCGTATAATTTAGTATGTTTCTTGATATGAAAAGTTTAAGAGGGGAAAAAGTAAGGGAACTTTTAATAAATAGAATAAAAATTTTTATACGACTTTACACGGATACAATTATCGATATTTCATCGATTTATACGAAGACAATCTTATAAATTTCTTATTACGAAAGAACGATTGTATTCACATACATTTGACCTTATATTTTATTTCCAGAAACCAGAAACATGGGAGCAACTTAAGAAGAAGTACGATCCTAATGGTGAATACACTAAACGGTACGAGGATGAGGCTCAGAAACGCAACCTAAAACTGTGAATAATTTAGATTTTTTTTATCTCGTCGAGATAGAACGTCGAGAAATCTGTCTTCTTTATTTTTTTATATCGCGCGAATTAAGTAAATCCATCAGTTTTCCACAATTGTTGCCACAACTCTATTTAATTTCCTCAACGAAATATCAGAAACTATAAAGAGAGGAATTTTGCGTTTCAAAATGTTATCGTTAATATAATAAACGAATCTTTTTAAGAGGAAATTATGATATCTACATTATTTAAGGATGTTTTGTATGTACAATCCCAGCAAAAAGTAGCTGAAAATTAATATTGACGAATATCCACTTTTGTATTTTGAGTATGAGAAATTGTGTGGAATATTACAATTTGATCTTAACTATAGTGATGTATTTTTTAATATTTATTGCGTTTTTATTGAAATATTCCGAATTTTGTTAATCGAAATGATTAACTTTTGGCAGAGAATTTCGCCTTGTGACAGATACATGGCTAACTTCATTAAATTATATTTAATATCTTTTTAACAAGTTAGTACTTGTATAATATTATTTGATCAAATATTTCCTCTGTATCTAAACTTTTGCAAATTTTAAACATATTCTGAATATTATTTCCATATATTTTTGTCATTTGAATCCACATGATTATACGTTTCCCATAAGAACACATGTTAATTCGGTGTAAATTAAAATCCTTATAACTTGTAAACGCTTTAGTGAATCGATTTAAAAGTTGTACTGAAGATTCTAAACATATGTAAGAACATTCTGTACAATTTTCATTAAATTCTCAATATTTTGAAAATAGCTACAAAACATCCTTAACGAATTACGATAGTTTAATTATCGTCATCATTTACTCTAGTCTAGTTTTTCCTCTCCCTCTTTTTCCTCTGTCTCTTCGTTTGACGGGCAAACAACTGGTTTGTATACCAGTCACGGTCGGCAATAATATATTTCTTGGTTTCCGCGGCTCTTCTCTCCCGAAAAGCAGTTCGACACTTCGGGAAGAGATAAATCCAGGCACAATGCCGAGAAAAGTTCCCCGGCCGAAGTTTGAGGTCCGAACGTCGCCCTTGAGACCGCCTCGCTTAATTTCCTGACGCTGTCCAATATGAAATATATGTGCGCGTATCTATATGCCTCGCCATTCGAGAAGCTCTCTGGAAACCCGATTTTGTATTTTCATCGTGCCCTACATCGAACGAAACGTTCCCGACCTCTCTATTCGCGAGAAAGCGAAACTCTCCCGGCAAAGGATGTATTTCATTGTCGGGGAACAAGAATGTCCGTTGATAATCGATACCGTTCAATCCGGCTAACGACTCAAGTCAACTTGTTGGCTCCGAAGACTGAGTTATCAAAGTTGCGGACCAAAGGGGAGCGACTGACTTTGCGCGCGTGTCTCGTCCGTACATTAAGTTCGATCATTTCACGAGGAATCGACCAAACATTCCCGCTTTTGTCCCAACCGTGACACGACGGGGAGATACCAAGCGGGAGATACCTTTGTTTCCCTGTCGTCCTTGTTTGTTCGCGACACGATGTGATTTTCGTTCCGTCCCGCGCGCGTTATTAAATTAAAGAAGTTCAGGATTCGCATCTCCTCAGACAAGTAACACATGCATAACTAATTACCCCCCTTTGTCGCACCTACCTTCGCCGCCCTTCGTGTCCTTCTCCTCCTCCTCCTCTTCCTCCTTCCCACGGATAGCGAACTTTGCCGACGCGCGTGTTAAATATGTAAATGAATTACGAGATTAGTGCATAGTCAACTTAAGCAGTCGATTTAAATGCACCGCGACGGACCGACGCGGTGGAGGGTCGGCGAGGGGGCGAGGGGGCGAGGGGGCGAGGATGGGAAAAGGGTCACTCAGACGATCGCGCAAATCGAGGAGGAAAATTCGCGAGGTCGCGCGACTCTCTACGGAGGAAATGGAAAATTTGCGGCGGTTCGTGAAAAACCGAAAATTCAATTTCTCTTGGCGTGCCGCCACTCGACGGGAAAATTTCCCCTCAGACTTCACCGTCGATCGGATTGAAATCCGAATATCATCGATTCGGCGGGACACTCGTAGGAAACGGATATCAGGGATCCCCTCAACAGGTTGGGAATTCTACGCATCCCTGCAAGCACCTGTCGACAAGTACCTGATTACTTCTCCCTCCTTCCCCCTCCTCCCTCTCATCTCCTTGTTAAACAGGAAATTATAATCGATGAATCGCGATTTCATGTTCGCGATATATGCTCAGATCAGATTGATGAGGGAAATTATATATATATATATGAAAATACATAAATATACACAGGGTGTCAGGGCAGGAAAAGATGTGTAATTTACAATTAACAATTACATTTTTTTTTTTTTCGAAACAATTATGTGTTTTCTTTACACTAATTGATTCCTCTCATTATTTTGTACATAAAAGTAAGATAATCGAAAAATGAATATTTTACTAGATATTTTATGGTTTATGTAAAAATAAAGAAATTATGTCAAGCCTCATAACTCGAAAAGTACTCGATGAAAAAATATTTTATTATAGTGTTTTGAAAAGCTCTCGGGGTAGGCTACAAGAGCCTTTTTTTGGAAAGAGATTGCCCTGACATCCTGTATATGTACATGTTAAAATTGAATTTTTTCGAAAAGAAATGTCAATAAATTTACTTCAAAATGGTAATGAGTTTATTATACGTATATATAACGCGTATATGTATAATAATCCCGAAGCTCTTTAAATTAATCGCAGCATTATTGAAATACAGTAACAAATTGAAATGAACGACGAGAGCTGTCCTTTAAATGTCATCGATCGATTCCGAGCGTTCCGAGAATGAAAATACCGCGTTTGATGAATTTCAAATATTCTCCGCTTCTTATCAAGCATCCCCGAATTGTTGAAATTGCTGGCGATGCTTCAATCGCAACACATAACTTCGTTGTTTTGTTTCTATCATGCAGTTAAATTTTATTATTTTCTTTGTTACGTCACTTTTTTTCTCTTTCCTTTACATTGGAAAGCATTCACGCAGTTATTTGAAATATAACAGAGTAAATAAATACTCGGAATGCCTTTTCGGGATTTTTTAGCGATACTTTAATATAATATACATACTTGAATATTTTCGTTGGAGAATGTGACGACGATAAGAAGTCTGGTCTCTATTATTGTCCTTAAAGCCGTCGATCCTTAGCGACCTTGTTTACAGCCTTGTTTCCAGTCATTTGACGCGCAGCATTTCACGACGACGAACGCTTCTTCACACAATACCGCGTACGAAAGGTTAAATATCAGACGATTGTGTATCGAAAAGACTTCTACGAGCGAGACGATGTTTGCGATATTTAATTATTTATTAGCGGGATGTCGCGAAATTAAAGTTATGTAATAACCATATATATAATAAATATAGATACGCGATATCGATCAAATGTTGCGACAAAATTAAAAAGAGAAACAGAGAGCTTTCGAAAGTATAGTCTTCTCTCTCGAATGTAAAAATACAAGAGTCGTATAAAAATATCATAGACATAGAGATGAATCTCTATTTCATTAAAAAAGAGATTCATATTCTCATTCAATGGAATTAAAGCACACTCTCGAAATATTGTGTTCTGTGTTTTTAATTTTGATAACGCATACGCGACTAAGATACGCGTCTATGTTTATTGTCTATGGTTATAACTAAGGAAAAACAAAACTAGCCGAAGACTCATTCAAAGTCTATCGTCTCGTACCGATTGACGTAAACGCACAGGTAGGAATGGTGTCCCGGTATGTATGTATGGACGGTCATACGCACACACGCGAAGCACGCACGTCCGCGAGAGAATTTATTCATTAAATTTTCTTTTTATACAATTTAATTATTATTTAATTTAATAAAAAGGAATGCCGACCTTTAGGGCACGCGGTTAATCCGCATTTCTTAAAGAAAGAAATGAAAAATATATCGATATCGATATTAAGGATGTTTTGTATGTAAAATCCCAGCAAAAAGTAGCTGAAAATTAATATTGACGAATATCCACTTTTGTATTTTGAGTATAAGAAATTGTGTGTATTTTTTAATATTTATTGAGTTTTTATTAAAATATTCCAATTTTGTTAATTGAAATGATTAACTTTTGGCAGAGAATTTCGCCTTGTGACAGATACATGACTAACTTCATTAAATTATATTTAATATCTTTTTAACAAGTTAGGTACTTGTATAATATTATTTGACCAAATATTTCCTCTGTATCTCAACTTTTACAAATTTTAAACAAATTCTGAAATATTATTTCCATGTGTTTTTGTCATTTGAATCAACGTGGTTATACGTTTCCCATAAGAACACATTTTAATTCGGTGCAAATTAAAATCCTTATAACTTGTGAATGCTTTAGTGAATCGATTTAAAAATTGTACTGAAGATTCTAAACATATGTAAGGACATCTGTACAATTTTCATTAAATTCTCAATATTTTGAAAATAGCTACAAAACATCCTTAAAGCGCACGAGACACGTATAGAAATAGCGCGGTGTCCCACGCGGGATATAGCTGTCTCGCTTGCACTTTCTCGTTCGAACGTCGAGCGAGAGAGACGGCTAACACCGGACACCTCTAACTCGGTACGTCTTATAGTGCTTTCTCTCTCGCTCTTGTGCTGTGCGCAAAGGACGCAACATCGGAATGTGCCCCACTACTTTACCCCCACTTCCTCTCTCGCGGCCAGGCCCGCGATATGCGCGCTTCATTTGTTAGTGTGACGTCAGTGAGCAGTCACACAAGCATGTCGGGACCTTTCCTGTCGGTGCGTGACCTGTAGACGGTATTTCGTAATTCGCTGATTTTCTGTATGTGCGAAGAAGATAATCATATAGTGTGAGATTCGAAACTATTGTCGATCCGTTATTTGTCACAGAAATGTCAGAAAAATACGAGTAAAATATATTACGCGAGTGTACCGCGGCATTTTGACGTCGGCACAGCTGATGGCGCGAAATCGAAGGAAAGTGAAGTTAGTCGCAGACGCGTCGAACGCGAAGAGCCGTCTTTCTCGCCAAAACGCGTGTGTGTTGTCTATAGAATAGTGCCTTACAATTTGCGATTTCGTGCACACGTAAAGTGGAAATTTGCGACGAAACGTTGTTGACACACGGAACTGTTTACGCACCACTCTTCGCTACACGACCTTGCTATTGTCATGAGATGTGTCGTGTGTGTCGTGACATTTTAGAGTCGCAGATTAATTTCGCTGTTGTGAAGGAAAGTGAGTGATGTCGTCAGTTAACCTATATATGTGTACCTTATAATTCGCGAGTTTCCGCGAAGAAAAAAATTAAAGATTCTATCGGAAATTCCGAATCAAATATACGCATACAACGTCAATATAGCGCGACACGTTCGAAACGTATTATTTTATGTCGCTTGGCATATGTGTTCGAACTGTCGATTTTCGTGAGTGTTCGTGCAAATGCAAGGTCGAAAATCGGGAAAGCAGGGTGAATGAAACTACGGAGATTCTACGTAGCATGGATCGACGAGGATGATGTTTCCCTAGACAAATGGACAAGAGAGGTTATCGTCATTCGATGCTGGTCGTGACAGGATGCAGTGAAATGTAAGCGGATCACGTAAGTAGTCTGTAAATATTTCTCTATTTTTCTAGAAATAGTAGTTTTTTAACTGATATTTGCATAAACTATTTAGCGAAATTTTGCATTCGATAAAACCCTTGCGTATAATAATTTGCATAAAGATAAAATGATATAAAAATGTTGCGAAACAGTTTTGCACGAGGTTTGATGAGTCCCTTGGGAGCTACGTAAAAATAGAAGTTGTATAAAATTACAAATAATAGCTGCAAAATTATATATATAATTGTATGGGAATAATTTTCATTCTCTTGTGCGGGTAATCTTTTTTGGGAACACCTCTAAATTCGCGTAGATGCAAATTTAGTAGCGCGGTTTAATTTATTACTCTTTTAATTGACTTATACATCAAAAAAGAAAACAAAATATAACAACAAAAAGAAGAATTTGTTTTCAAATCTTGTAATTTATTTTTTTTCTCTCAGAGAAAAGCTTTGAAATCTCTTTAATTTTCCATTTTATTGCGTTGTCTTTCTACTTTAATATTAATTAACACATTTCAATATTAATTAATTAGAAATTAATTGCATTAATTCTATTGCAATAATTAATGATAATGTTGCAACGTAATTATAATTAATTATATATATATATATATATATATATATATATATATATATACATACATATAGGGTATCCTATAATATGTGAAGTCCACTTTAGAAGTATATTTAGCATTTGAAAATGATAAAAAAAGAAAATGTACAAATAAAGTAAATGTAAAAAAATTGTACATGTATGTAATTTTTATTTGATTTTGTATTTTAATATTTTAACAATTTGTATCTGTTTATTTTAACAAAAAACGAAGATTGATTATTAGAGCTCAAAATAATTATCTTGCATGTGTAAACGTTTTAATATATATTGATCTTTAAATTATTTTGACTGTTTCAAATATTTTTCGGATTTGCTGGCAATCTTGTTCAATTCTCTGGGATGAAATATTTCAATATTGATCAATTTTCTAGTGGAATATTTCAATATTGTTAATTGATTTTTTTCAGACAATAGATTTCGAAAGAGATTCCACAACTAAAAATATAAATAAATAACATTTATACATATATATACAGTCAAATATAGTGTGGTCATTCTGAGCATCTTTTTTAAAGCAGATACAGTATGCTAAGACAGAATTCGTTGTAATTCGAAAATAAGGTCAAATTAAATATGTAAGCATTCTTTTCTTAATCTTTTATGCTAAATCTATTTCTAAAAAAATAGATTCCATATATTATTAGACATCCTCTATAAAATTATATACTATTAAAAATTATGTATAATTAAAGTATTTATAAAAGAAAGATTCAGTGATATATATATAAACACATGTGATTTATTAGATTTTTTAAAATCCATCTTTTACAATTATAAAAATTAAACTTAATTATTTAAAATTAATTAATAAAGAAATTAAAATTATTTATTTAAAATAAAAATAAATTGTTTAAAATTGTATAAAATTTACTTTTTCTATATTGTTTTGCATGTCTATGTGTTTTGCAAAATTATACCTTAATTATGCATAGTATTAATTAACGTAAAAATTAACCGCGGGATTGAGTAAGATATCAGGAGTTCAGTTCGAATTACGTACTTGGAGTTTTAGTAGTACAAGACTGTCGTATATGCGTTCGGCTTAGTATATGTGCTATTCTGTCATCTACTTGGTTGCACATTGCCGGCTTTATCTACCTGGCGGAGTACCTATTTCTGTAATTAGGTATTTAAGGGCGCACGTTACAACGTGATCGATTTCACGTTGAGTATCATCGTGCCATCAACTAGGTAACATTCTGAGCTGCATAATGAAATGTAATAGAATGAATCACGTCTTCATTAATTTATTTAGCACTAATGGAACAAAATATGTCACAGGTTGCTTATACACAAGTATAACGAAAAATGTGAAATTTTCTGTTCTTTTTTTTCGCTTCAATTTTTTTTATTAAAAAATTCGCGTTGAAATCGTACATCGATTTAGATTCGTAAATTGTTGGATAATTTGAAATTCTTCATTTTTTTCAGACTAAAAAATACTCGTTTTTCGCAACCCCATTAATTACAATTTATAAATTTCCTTTTGAGATGTCTAAAAATATGATATATTGTTATTTTGAAAAGAGATGCGCAGTACTCATTAATTCCTGGGATTATTACATTTCAAAGGATGCTCCCTTCGCGATTAGAATTAAGAGTTAAAACGTCCTTCACTTTCTGATCCCTGCGTAAGTACCGGGATAAGCCTCGCCGCATATTGTGCTGACCTTTCATTGTCGACGGTGGTCCGAGCTTCGTTACGTTCTCTAGCTGACACGGCCGTTTTCCGTAATTAGAATTTCCATTTCCATCCACTCTCCGGTTTCTCTCCGGTGTTTTTACTTCTGTTTACACTTTCATGTCCGTAGAAATGTCTACTCCATCGCATACGCGTATCCTTCCTCGCGTGCACGTCTTTCTCCGCGTAGGACTCGTTCTGACGTTAACACTCTCCCGTAAGCTCGCTTTCAGGCACCGGTTCCGGTAACGACTCTTAATCCACGAGAACGTTAATCTGTTTCTTATGCGCTCGTGCTCGCCCTCGCTCTCGTAAATTTCGTTGCGCTTGTACCGCGCCCATATCAGCAATCCGTGCAATTTCGAACTGCGACGCTCGCACATTTGTAAAATGTTTTATTCTTGGCGCGAACTTTGGACTCTTAGGAAATTTAAGATTACTCCGAATTTTCAATTTTCGTCAATGAACACACGTTTGGACCTTTGTGAGATTTGTAAGATTATTCCAAACTTTCAATTTTTGTCACAATAAACTGTGACTGAATGAATAAGAGGGTTTAAGGGAAGTGCGATAAAAATTATAGGTAATAATTATTTCCTAAAAATTAAGAACTTCTCCACAGGATTATTCTCTCTTTAATCTGCAATAATTTATTAAAATTTCATGATAATTTATGCAAAAAGAGATTTTTATCGAAATGAATCTATGTGAAATTTTGATCTTTAACATACGAGTTGGCTGTATTATTTTTTCCGTCTATTTGCCTAATCTGGCGCGATTCATCTCGTATTCGCCTGGCCTCGTATCCCAACTGACCGACAGCCATCCCAGCGCTGGGCTGATCTCCAATTTAGATCTCGATTTAGCGTCCTGCCGCGTCGTGCTTGGCGCAATGTTCGGACGCGAGATTAGGTGGTGTTCCGTCTTATGCACTGTATAGCGTCGGGATTATAGGCTCTAAACGGGCGGGGGAGTAACGTTACGAGATGATACGTGTGTACGCGTCGTGGCTTTGTCGTGTCCGCCGGCTGTCACGGCCATTCCCGTAATGGAACGTTTGTTCCAGATTGAGTTTGCCCCCCCGGGGGATTCTCGCGCAATGTAAAAGAGAGACGCCATCTCTCCGTTCGATTCATTTCGAATTTTCTTTTCAGTCTCGATTCCTCGAGTGCAACGGGAATAATTGAAATCGCGCGTCGATATTAACGAGTGTCGCGTAAATTTGCAACGATTAGAATCGTACACGCGATACAGAAATCCCGCATCAATTATTGCTATTTAGCGACTGGACAAACTGGCAAATTGACTGCAAATTTGTTTAATTACGCGCAGCTCATATAATTCGAAATATATATCATTCTCCCCTGAAGAAATCACCAATATATTTCGTATCATTTGCCCATTATTTTTTTTTTCTAGTATCGATAGCGTAATATATCTAGAGGTACGGTTTTACATGTACTATCATTCGCTACATCGTTTTACAGATTTTTAAAGCGGTAAAAAGCGCCGTTTTAGCTTTTAGCGTTTAGCTGCAACTTGTACGTCGCAAATCGTGACTTGCCTCCGACGATTATCGTTGATAAGGGTTGCGATATCGTTACACGGTCGAAACACACGGCATTCGGTACTTTAAAATGGAAATCCGATGGCGGACCCAGCACTCGTACGGTAGCCGAATCGAATTACAGCAATAACATTGGCGCTTGATTCGCGCCGAGCAGATATTATTATATATGTATATTTATGGAGATTTACGGGAGAGTGATTTGTGTACGTTTGGAACAGTGGTGAGGGGACGATTGGTGATTTCTTCAGGGAAGAATGATATATATTTCGAATTATATGAGCGCAATTAAACAAATTTGTAGTCAATTTGCCAGTTTGTCCAGTCGCTAAATAGGAATAATTGATACGGGATTTCTGTATTAAGTTATAATCTAGATAAATACGTGCACGCACTTGTCAACTTGCGCGCGCGTTTATTCTAAAATCAAACGCATATTCGCGACGAAGAATGTTTTAGGTTTTTTATTGGATTTTCGAAACGCGAAATATTTCGAAATATTTGTCGGATTTAAATGACATTTCGCGATACGACGCGCACACGTTGCGTGTGATTCCGCCGTCCTCGAATGAATCGCAGGTGGAATACGCGAATATGTGAATCGCACACATGCAGATGCAACGCACGTGGATGCAACCAGACGCTTGACGGCTGATCATTAATCGTGCCTCGCAATTCGAAATTAGACACCCGTCCTTCTGACTTTGCCCATCCGCTTCCTAGAAACTGCTGAAACGAGGTCTTTAGAATAGCAGGGGATAAGATAAAAAGAAGGGTCGGACCCGGGAGTAATCGTGACGATGGCGGAAAAGGAAGAGATAGCGCAGAGAAATCGCGCCCTTCGTCTTGTCTATCTTGAAAAAAAATTCGGGTCGATTTTCTTATCTTTTTCATTAGCTTCTTCTTTTCTCAAAAATTAAGCGTCATTTATAGCACTATTTATTTTTTCAACGGACCACGGTTTAACATCTATAAATTTATTTGTCGCCCACGCTATGAATTTATTTATTGCAACGGATTTGTTCCGTTCCCTTTCGTCTTTCAGTCGCGGGATGTGATCCGGATACGAAATACTCCGGGTTTACTTTAGTCACCCTCCATTCCCTTTCTTCGTTCGGGCCGAACACGATG